AATTGGGATTAAGGACTCGGAGACAAAAATATTTGATTAAAAAAAGGACCTCAAATTCTTTAGCAAAAAACAGAAGGAAAAAATGTAGAACACAAACTTTTTGTTAGGATCTTTTCTCATCACACAAAAACTGCATTTTATCTTTCATGTTCTACCTTTTAACTTTTCTATTCGATACTTTTTCTTTCATATTTTATTTTAATTGGAGAAGTCTAAACCCTTGTCCTTAATTAAATTTTTAAACGGGTCCTTATCCCTAGTTTCTCCTTTATTTAAAGTTACACTGAATTGTATATCTAAGTGATAAATACAAGTCAGATCATTAGATAAACATATGGTTCATTAGTAAACACGTGGTACTCATCTTTTTTATGAATCGCTAAATTAGGGTGAAAATTTATTTACTCATTTATACTCCTCCAGTCTTTAATATAGAACCTAATTGTTGAGTTGGTTTTGGTCTTATATTTAAGATCCATTTTTCATATTTATCAATTTTTTCTAAATTACCCCTATGGATACTTCCTCAACCATAATCAAGTACAAGAGGGAGAAGGGTATTAAGAAAGATGATTATGATGTTTTAGGAAAAACATGTCACATTTCTTATAATTAACTAACTTACCTAACTTCCTTAATCTAATCAAATTAATTAAATAAGTCTTATATTAAGGATCAGAGAAGTATCATATTTTAGATGTCTCATTATTTAGTGTCATTCAATAACCACTATTACCACTTAATTTTTTATAAAATAAATGGCATTTTCTTTACTTTTACCCTAAAGTCATACTACTAATTTAATTTTTGGTTATCATGCATAAACCATTTTATTGCGGCCCAAGTGCCACTTTTTTTCACCCTCCTCTCTTTTAAACCTACTTCCAATTGACCTTTAGTAGTGAACCAGCAAGACGCACAAAACTAGGCTTTTTTCTTGGCACGACTTGCATGTAGTCATTGTAAAAAGAATATAGGCAGCATTTATTATATCTTTCCTGTCAATATACTACCTTTGATTCTAATTATAAGAATTAGTTGATTAATTTAATAAGATTAAAAAAAAGTTAAGTTAGTTATTTGTCATAAATAGGTGTTAACTTTTTTAAAATATCCTTGCTAATCAAGTACATTGGTTAAAACTACCATTGTTAGAAATACTATCTTGAAAAAAAAATACATAAATATTAAAGACTTGGATTGTGGTCTTATATTTATGATCAAAATAAAAGTCAAATAAGGTCCTATATTAAGGACCGGAGGTAGTATAATAATTAAATTTATTAATCATTTAAAAACATAAATATATTTCTTATTTACCAAAATATGTTTTTGTTTTTATTCTATTACATGAACCGAACAACCCCTAAACATTGAAGTTAGTTGACTTTACGTCAACCCTCTATGGACAGGTCTATTTTCATTGTTGTTTTTGTGTTTATAATTAATTTTACGCTTATTTTTATCGTTACAAATGTTACACTCTTTTTTTTTTTAGTGAGAGAGAAAATTAAAACTGGCCTGTTTAAATTTTACTTTATTCGTCTATTTTTTTTAATTATATATGAACATAGTATGAAATAAAACATTCTTTTAACACATATTTTAAAGTTATTTTTAATTAAAAGTAAAAAATAAAATAAGCTTAAAAACTATTTAATTGAAAATTTGCTGTAAGATAAATGTAAGGAATCAGATCCGTTCAAAATATTATCTGAAAAATATTTTATTTTCATGACAGAATATAAATAAATTATGAAAAAATTAATTTGTAGGTCTTTAGAATTTAATTACGACACTTCTGAATTAGGTTCTCATTGTCATAGTATATTTTGTTTAAATTGAGAACTTATATAATGTAACAAAAAAAATTGAGGCCTTATAATTTGATCCATTATAGTTATCCACCCTTAATCATTAAATTTAATTTACAGATTTTTATGGGCTTTATCGAATCTCTTTCATTTTATATCACACCGAATTAACACTAATGTGATTTTAGAAATGAAATTTCATAAAAATCTATAAATTAATGCTAACATATCAAATATAAGAACCTAATTTAAAAAAATTATAAGGACATTGTTCAAAATTAAGATAAAGTATAACGTCTTGCGAATTAATTTTTTTCATAAATTAATGAACATATGCTAGTTGTTGGGAAGAATAATTCTCAGCTAAATATAAATAATTATCTCATAAATTGTTTATATCGAGAATATATCAAGAATGGAATTGACATTTGGATAGGATGCAAAATTTTAATTAAATAAATGACATAGAATATGAGAAAAGTTTTTTTTTTTGGGGGAAATATGAATTGCCAAGTGTTAGATTCTGAAGAGCAAGTGGGACGTTCAAATTCAGATCGGTTGAACAACTACTGCGCTTAGAATTGCAGCTTGGAATCTTCTCCTTTAAAAATTTCAGAAATTTCCCCCAAGAAAAAAAGGAGTACTCTCTCTCCCTCTTTATTTATATACATATATATATATATATATATATATTTTATATGTATGTGTTAACAAAGGAAGTGATTTCAACGTTTGAATTTGATTCCAGAATAGGTGAAAAAGTTTCTTTATTAAAATAATAGTAAAATATAATAATAATATCAATAATTGTTGATGACCAATCATAGCAAAAAATAAAATAAATATTCTCCATTGTTATTAAAAAAAAATATTACATGCTGTATTTCCAATAGAAAAAAATATTTCGTCAAACTTTTATGCACAGGGTACTTTTATTCAATGAAATTTTAATATACTTCTTTTGGGAGGTGTATTAAATGATTTTGTTTTCAATTACCTCTTACATTTTAATGAAAACATGTTATAAGTCACTTCTAAAAAAAAGTGATTTAATTCAAAATATAAGTTACTTGGAAAAAAAAAAGTAATTAATTCCTATTAATTTTATCTCTGCAACTGATATTTAAATATAACTCGTTATATTTTTCTCTCTTATTCAAAATCTCATTTAATATGAGTAAAATTAAAAAGTTTTTTAATTTAAGACAAATTAAATATGTTTATTGTAATTTTTTTATAATAATAAATTGGTCAAATTGAGTTATACTATGGATGGGAGGTAAGCTAAGAGGATTAGAAATGGAGAGAATCCAAACTCAAAATAATACTACATTAATATTTTAATTTTTAACTACATTATTCAAGTAAATGCATAAATTAAGAGAATTTAAAGTACATTTTAATGTGTGTGACTAGATATTAAAATGTAGGTAAATTAAGAGAATTTTTAATGAAGAGAATCCAAATTCAATAATTAATTTAACTAGTTTTCTTAATGTATTCAAATTAACTGAGTAGAAAGTAGTTTTTATACTAAGAAACGATGCTATATGATGAATTGGATCCTTCTTGAAATTATGAAAGACTCCACGTCAAAAGCAAAAGGTATAAATATAATTAATGGCATGCAGAAAATAAAGACTCAGGATAAGTTTATGTTACGGCTCATAAACACTAGTTTGGTACGTCTGAAGAAAATAAATTCATATCGCTCTATTTCATATTCATTATTATATTTTTAATTTTTAATTAATATTTAATAATGTTTAGTACTCGTTTGAAGTAGATACCTAAAATTTTTCATCACTCTCCTCTTACTTCATTTTTCATTTCCTTTATTTTTATTATGTCTCCGAAACAGCCCTTTTTAAAATAACGTATGCTTGTGAAAAGGGCATATATATATATATATATATATATATATATATAAATGGAGTCGTGATAAACTCAAATTTGATTTGTGAGAAGTACAGAGCCAACTTATTCAATGAATGCATTTGATTAACATATTAAATTCATTTAATTAAGTAAAGTCAAACTTGAAAGTTGGATAAGCAGCTTATTAAATACTTGAACAGATTTAATATTCCATCTGATCCTTGTTATATGCTTCAAATAAATAATTTGACTATAACAAAAACAATCAATTAAACTTAATTAAAAGCAATAAATAAATCAGAAATATATTTTTGTTCCAAATATGCCCTTGTAAAAAATGAGAAAAAAGATAAAAAAAAATGTATAAAAAACATGATAAGAAAGAGTATAACAAATAAGAGAGAATAAACAAACTCGAATGTATTAAATGTTAAAACAAACTCAAATTAAAATTTATAAAATAGATCACATATCTTCTCAAATTTGAACTTATAAATAAGATCGGAAAGTAGTAATCAAGTTCAAGTATATAATTTTTTTTTTGGCCAACCAAGTATATAAATCAATCATTATCAATATCATCATCATCATTATTCTATAAAAAGGAACATTATTATTAAGTGTAGTTAAAAATGTAACAGTTTTCAGACCCTCTCATCTCCCCAAGCGACCCACGGATATATTACATATTTTATATTCATGTACATTTGTTTTTTATTTGTTTGTAATAATATAATATATATGTATAGACACCCACAAATTTTATTTTAATTTCTTACATATAAGATTTTTTTTGGTTTTGGTCATTCATAAAATTACTTTTTCAATCATTCTCTCAAGTAAATCATATTGCAATTCGGTCCTTAGATATTTTTCCCTTGAGCTTAGTTATTGCTAAATAAATACGCTCTTCACAAATAAAATAGTAATCATTTATATATTTCTATATTTTTTATAAATAAAATTAATAAAAAATTAAATTAAAGATATTGTAAAATTTATATTTCATCACATTTCTCTTACTCACAACCTCACACACTTAGGAAACTCTTAAGAGGAGGCTCTTGATGACATAGAACTTCAATTTTATGTCATCACAATAATATCAATGATTATTTTTTCTTTTTCATTCACCAATGGTAATCAGAGTAATTTTTTTTTAATCGGAATAAAATGAAAGGACTAAATACTCCTTTAACAAAGTTGTGGGATTGGATTTCGTAAATGAAACGAAAATCATATCATGAAGGCTATTTTCATTTGGGTCCAATCAGGAAGGAGTTCACGAAAGCCATCTAGAGCGGCCCAAAAGACCAGTTACTTGAAGCTTAATACGTTTAAAAGAGCCCCATGACCAAAAAACTTTTGTACACCAAAACAAAAAGAGCCCCATGACCCCAAAAAACTGAAAACCCATGACCAAAAACAAAAACAAAAACAAAACAAAAAGCCCCTTACATTTGAGATTGAGATAACACGCAATTCAGCTACCTTGTACCAGTATCACCCTCGTCCCTTTTATTTGTCACCTGTAGAAGTTTTTCACACACCAAGAAGAGCATTAAATAAATGAAATCTTTCACTTTTGCACTTATTAAATAGGGAGTATGTTTTCTCTCACTCATTCCCTCTCTTCACCTTTATGATCAATGTGGGTAAAATTGAAAATAAAGCATTAAAAAAACATATAAGCAACAAATAAAAAGGACTAAAAAAATTCTACTACAAGTGACAAATAATAAGGACCAGAATGGCACATCCTCAAAAGTTGAGCGTATATAATAATGGGGACAAAAATAATGGGCTCAATGATGTAATGTGGACTTCACATGCAATCAATCTCTTGTGTAACATTTTTCTGGGGAAAAAAATATTTGGCATTCGATATTATTGAGTTAGGTTCCAAAATGCTCAAACACAAATGAGGGTAGCTCTCCTAATACGATTTATTTACAATGTATTATAATTCGAACTTATACCCCTATTTAAGTAATATCAAATCCCTTCCACTCAAGACAACTACCAATAATTTGTGTGAAATATGAATGCACGGGGTCTGGTTTAGATAGCAAGTAGTTTCCTGATCAATACTGCCCTTTGAAGATCTGACGTGAAACAGGGACTTCAGGTAATCTTGGCCGATAGAGTTGAGACAAAGAGAAAACACTCAGACGACCAGATGATACCATGACACATAGCGACAGAGCATGCCAATTTAATTGGATCCTATATTTCGATATGGGATTTGGAGGGAAAAATACCTAAATTTTGCCAGTGCCCTGTCCTAGACATGTGCATAAAGATGACAAGAAAACCGAAATCTTAAGTTTACAGGAAAAGAAACAAAGAAGATGAAGAATTTTAACATTGCAGCATGCTAAAGTTAATTTACCTTTTGTGGATATTCTGCTACTCATAATTGATAAATTGCGGAAACCAGCTTTGCCAAACCACCATAATCTAAGAGCCAAAGTACATGAGTTTTCTTGTTGGTGATGTCACTTGGTGGCACCATTCTGTGCCCCAGATTAGCTAATAAATAGGTAGTCCATCGTAAAGTATAGAACTCAACTAAGTGATAAGAAAAATAGGGAACTTACAAACAGAAATTAAGCTACTAATATCTTGAGAATCACATGGTTAGTTCAGTGGATGTGTGCAGAGATACAAGTGTGCTCGCTGAAAAGGAACCAATCAGTATCAGCATCATCGGGTTAGAGATAGCACAACGTCGTGATTTTCCAAATGATGAAAAATTTAGTCTGTTTGATCTTCAACAATTCTCTCTAAGAACAGATACTGAAGAGCTATGGAGTACTTGGCAACTTTTGTCCTATTAGGGTTCTGAGTTCCTGAAGAACTCCTATTTTTTAGAATGAATGATCTGGCTTCATCTCCTTCTGAAAGATCCAGTAATATGACAATTATTATTAATATGCCACTAATGAAGGTACAAATGACATGAAACTGGGAGCCATATAAAAGTCATGAAAGGATACTTCCTTCTACCAGGGTAGGATGGTCTGTATTTTAAATGTTCAAATGCAATATAATAGCAGCAAATGGACTCAAATTCAGAGAGCAGAATAAATAGTCCAGTACAAAGACTATACCTGTATATAGTCATTTTATATTCAACTCACCTTTGATTGTAAAAATGGAGGGTACCATTTCTTATAGATGAAATGCAACCTGGAGGAGCCTCCATGGTATGTATCTGATAATAGAAGCTTGCAAGATCCTTTTTGACTGTGAAAAAGTTAGACAAGAATTTTATCAATACATCAGCCATGCAAATGAAGCATCACACTTAGGTTCTACGCTACTACAAACTCTTGCAGAAGTAATGCCCACTTACTTTGCATAAGTAATTGGATTGTGACATAAAGCTAGACTACTGACCATCGCCAAATCTCTTACACGGGGATTACAGTGTCGTTCTTGGCAGCTCCTTTTGGGAATTCAGAATTTCAGACAAATGTTGCTAAAGAGTTACCAGAATTTCACATAGGCTTAAAAAATGGTTGTAACTACGCCAATTTCTAAGACTTTAACGACTGAATTACCTGTTATCAAAGAAATCAGCAAAATCATCAATTATACAGCAGCAGGCAATACATCATACAGATGGAAGGCAGAAAAGTACTTGTTGATGTCCTCATCGCCATTAACATACCTTAACCATGAAAAAGGGAAAGATAGTCAAACTCAAAGCAGAACTAAGCAATCAGAAGTGCAAATATAGCAGAAATGAGTGAAGTGGTGATTATCATACTTCATTTGTATACGGTTGAAGACATCAGAAGACCCATCAATGCCCTGAAATTCACAAAACTTGAAGTCGTTTTCAAAAGAAGGGAAACTACATGATACCCTTCCGAACTGTGGGCAATATAAACTTCAAAACGTAATAAACCACTCCGCGAATTTGGGACCTAAACAAAAATATTTCCTGGTTAAAATTGATGGCAATAACTCATGTGATTTTGACTACTAAGACTCCCTAACCTTGTGATTTTAAAAAGAAAAAGAAGCCAATGCCACAATTTTGACTGTAATTATTATACTCAGCCCAACATTTATTCTTTTAAACAGATGACCTCTAATTTCAACAACTAAGGGATGTCCAATGCTTTCATTTTATGAGCCGAGTATTTTATCACATTCTAAAGCAAACCAGCCAATGTTAAAATTAGGCACAAGTTCAATCCTAAAAGAGAGATTTGCAAACTTGTGGCGGTTGCAGATGAAGAAGACATTGGAAGTGGCAGGCTGGTGAGTGATATAGCCACATTGAATGCAAACAGAAAAAGAAGAGAGGTTTTGCCAGAGGAAGGAGGACCTGAGAGGAGAAGCAGATTCGGCAGCTTTTCAATTTCTTCAGGTGGGTGCGGCCAAGCCCTCCAGAAAAACGCCTCGCCCCATAAACTATCGGAAACGCTTTTGTTGTTCGCCGATCACCGTGTTGAATGCCTCGACGTCCTTTGGAAGTCCCTTCGAATTATGAGAAGCAGCGACAAGTGCCGTCTTCTAACATCACCTCGCGCATGTACCTCTACTGGAGTCAGACATTTATGTTTCATAAACCCATTATTACAATATAAATATGCAATACTAATGATGGATCCTTTTGCTTTGAACCAAAAAAAAAAATTCATGGATCCTTATGCTTCTTTTCCTGTGATATATTAAAATTTGATGATATGCTTAGAAAATATTTTCTTGTAAGCTTTATTTTACTAAATGTAGTCGACTACACGAATCACATAATGTCATTGTATTCTATTAACAACTAAATCTTTAGGTAACTAGAAGAATAATATTGGTAGTAGTTTCTTTGATAGACTTCTACTATTAAACACAACTTTCCCAATAGAGATATTAAGAAAAGGAATCAACCAACCCAAATAGTGTATTAGTATTCTCTTTTAATGTGTGAAAGATTATTTATCAAAAGTGTTTTTTAATAATTTTGATCAGTAAAAAATATATTGGAAGTGTTCTATAAATAAGAGCAGAAAATATATTAGAAGTGTCCTATAAATAAAACAGAATAGCATTTTATATTACTCTGCGTGGAAACACAGATATCCCAAATAGCAAACCCACAAAGCCAGTGCTATGATTGACATGCTTTTAGTGCAAGCGGGCCGGAGCTTCATTGGCCAATTATTTTGCCATCATAATGTTTTACAGCTTGATATCAAATTATTTTGCCATCATAATGTTTTACAGCTTGATATCAAATTTAATTAAAGTCAGAGCTCCAACAACCTTAGCGTGGAGTATACTTGGAACTTCTTTTTCTCGCTTTCTTTCTATAATTGAATTGAAAAAAAGATAAGGCCACTTGGCCTCTACCTTACTATATTATTTATAATTGGCTTTGCGCCTATGCCTCACTGCTCTCTCTTGCTCTGCTGCCTCTTCCTTCATCTCTGCCTGCCGTCGTTCGCTGTCCTTCTTTCCGGTCATGGTCTCGGCTCCGGAGGAAACTGGTAATCATGCTGAAAATGAGGTTCTTGCAAGTGATATATTAACCTTTAAAAAAAAAATTATTAACTGATGGTTGGGAATTCTGTGTTCCCGACATGTCTCTATCTGTTTACCTGATTCATTAATTCAAACTTTTATATATATGTGGGAAGAGTCAGATCCAGGAGTCTGATTTATATGAAGCTTCCTCCAATGTTCCCATTATTCTGAGTGTTTCTTTCACTGCACACTCTTGCCAGAGCCCAAAAAAGCCTCAGCTTTTATTTTAACACGTATTATATTGATTATGCTGTTCTTGTACACAATCACTGAATCTATATCTATATATCATAATAAATCAAATAAATGGCAAGCCAATCCATTTACAAATCCTGGACGGCTCTGCTCTATTTTTGCTGTTCTATGAACAATAATGGCGCTATGAACAGTGGCATCTTGTTTGTGGCTTTGTTCCCTTTTTTGAGAATTCAGTTTTAAATTTTGAAATTTGTCTTTCATCATTCCTTCTCTCTCTATCTGTCTTTCTTTTTTTCAAGTTTGGTTTTCTTCTCATATGCTCATTCTGCTTCCCGACCGCTTTCTGTCACTATTGATCTCCGTCTGCCTCAT